ATCAAACCGGCAAAGCCTGAGAGTCTTGCGCTGCGCAACGTGCGCTCGGCAATAGCTGTGTTGCATTGAGGACAGCACACGTCCACCTCACAAACCATTGCGAATTTCTACTTGGGAATGTTGGCGCGGCAGCAGATTTAAGAAAACGGGCGAGGCAAGAAAAAGAGACACCAATGACTCTGTGAGGATGCGCTGGCGGTCTTGGAAATAAAACGCGTGCCACGAAGTGCATATACAAAGCACCAGACCTGACTAATGAGTTGGCAATGGTAGGGTGAAGGCCTTCAACACTGAACTTATCCAGTTCCTTGGCTGTCTCTTCCTCATTGCCTTCAAGCGGAGTCTTGTTGACCCGAGCGTGACAACCCATCCCATGATCGTGGCTGTGTGGCAAGCATGACAGTGTTGTGATGAATGCAAATCAACTCAGCTGGAGGCTGCTCCCATCTCCAATCTTGCCTGTCATAGGGCACAGCTACACTAAACCTCGGGCAAGAGACGCGCCAACGCCACCCCTCACTTCCGGCGCAAAGCGCCTGCCTCTGCGTGCCTCCGCAAACACTCAGCGCAGTACCTGCCGAAGTCTGGGCTGCCCAAGGCAGCTCTCTCCTGCTCAAAGTAAGGGCAGGGCCAGCCGTGACCGCAGGAAAGCCGCACCGCAGCTCCCATTTCGAAGTCCTGACAGGAAACACTGCCGATTGAAGCACGCTAGAAGCAGAACGGGTTTGTCTTGAGCTGTCAAGCAAACAGGCAACCATGCGTTCCCACCCGTAATGCAGTTCGGCTCGAGTCTTTCCGCATCGACTGCGACTGCGCATAAGTTTGCAGCAGATAGAACACGCAGCTATGGACGGCACCGACGAAGCAAGTGAAACGAAGGCAGGCAATGGCAATGACTTCGGCAAAGGACCCATGAGCTCACACAACACACCTACCCGATGCGGCCATGCAGGCGTGGCTCAAAACTTAGGAGCCAGGGGGCCGCGGGTGGTGGTCTATTCTGCCGTATGGCTACTCAGCAAAACACGCCATGCACCTCAAGACCAAAAACCAACCCGAATTTCCGACAGCCAGCCCTACCTCGCAGCAAATGCTGCAGCTCTCGGGGCGGCGGCTCCGCTGAACCTCAAGGACTTGCAGCTCGCCCAAAAGCGCAAGCAAATCACAACAAAGGAAATTTGAATTTACAGGAGAAATCGACCGCTCTATTTCGCTCGACTCGTGAAACCCCCAAGGTCCGGGATCTGTATCTGAAATGATCCGGCTTGAAAGCCCAGTACACAGGCTGCACAAGCCGTGTTAGGTATTCCACCTGACCCTCGCTGAATCATGGGAAAGCCGTGATCTGGGCATGACATTGAGAACGACGTACACCGAGGACACTACCATTGCAATTAATGAAAATCCACGCAAATCGCGTGCTTCAGGTTGTTGTCACACCAATGAAAATGTAACGCTGCAAAGGTGGCACACCACCAATGAAAACGCATAATCGGTACAGGGCAAATACGTTGGGCGCCACGGGGGCCGAAAAGCATGGGGGCAGGGCACTACCCAAACCAATCCCAGCATCTCCACGCATTAGTATATGCATCCATATTATACCCTTGTGGTCTGCCAATTGGCGTTCAGGATGCGAACCTGGTGATCCTCAGCAGGAAGTCTGTGTCACGTCCCTCTGGGTCTGCTGGTTCGGTTTCACCTTCTTGATGACGCGAAGCGTTATTTGCATCCTGATGCGCTCCCCGCTCGTCCCGTGAAAGCTGGAGGCAACACGGCACGCTTGCCATTTGGAGACTGGTTTTCTGATCATGTATGTTCATCCTGGAAGCTGATTTGAACACAATTCATGCGGACATACCGCTCTCGACCTCATTCACGGATAGAAGCGGCTTCACGGGACAATTGCGACTGCAGCTGTTCTTTAACGATTTCACCGATTTGCGCGGCCTTTCCCTCATATTCAGGATTTTTCCGGCTTCTTCACGGAATTGCATGGCTCTATTTCGCACATGGGATTCTCGTGGCCGGATGGGACTATTTGGGCCGCTTGGCCGAAACAACCTCCGCCCATATCCCCTGCATTTCAGGCAGCCTCGCACTCGTGCGCCTTTCTGCCGTAGTTTGGCGTCAGGTTCAATCCCAAGCTGTGTGGGGATGCCTAGTGATGATTATCATCATCGCTGATGGAGACGCTGGGGATGCGTAGTGATTATTATCATCATCCCTGCTAGAGATGCTGGCAATGCGTAGTGATGGTTATCATAGCCTCGCTCTTGAACTGCATCCCCTGCCAGGGCTGATGCCTACAGACACCGAGTGTCTGGCAACCAAGGCTCCTCTTCGCAAGGACATCGGCCTTGCTGTCAGGGCCGCGCCCTCGACACAATGCACTCACTCGCGAAGTGTGTCAGCGCCTGACACCGCTGCGTGCCGCTTTGTGCGCCTTAGCCGTGACCTTAACCGAAACTGTCTCCAGGGTCGGTGACCTCCTCAATCGCCTCATTGTTCCTTCTCAGGCTTTCACAATCATTGTCAATGGTGCCGAGCCTCCTGAATATCATCTTCTGATACTTCATCAGTTCAATAGTTGCGCTGCCCCGTAGTTGTTGCGACAGGTTGCAAGTGCAATATGGGCTTCTCAAACCTGTTGAGGATGTCCAGCGTGGTTGGTGCATGTGTGACGGAAATCATCATGGTGGTGGGCCCGTGCTTCATGGTCATCAGCGGGTTACCACGACCAAACGGCGCTGCCAACGCTTCTGGCCGCGCGGCTGCGTATCAGATGCAAAACGCTGCGCCAGTCTCTTTGGCCAGATGGCACACGCTGTGACGCCGGCAGCGGGGTCGTGTCTCCCGCTGTCTCATGTCTCACTCCCACTCTCTCCAACACACGCACGCGTGCGCAAGCTATACATTGCACATGTGTAGTTATTATATGGCTCTGACTTTCATTTTCCGCGCTCGCTGTTGCAGTGGTAGCTTAGGACCTGGGTCCATGAAAGTGACATCAAATCATACCATTCTCACGCATCCTCAGAATTACTTGCCCTCCTGCTGGTGATTGAAAACGGAACCGGCCAGATGCGAGATTTGTTTGAGCTAGTATATATCTTGTCGTGTGTGCCACGGCTCTCCACAGACCAAAATCTAAAATTTCCCTGGTCCTCTTGCCAACTGCGCAGGAGTTTGATGAACACGAACGCGGCGCAGCAGAAGCTTCCAAGCTTGCTTCTCGACTACGAGGCCCGGTGCAACTTGGGGCTTGGGCAATCGCGGCGCCTTTCCACGGCTTACACGCCTTATTTGTCTCACACACCTTGTTTGTCTTGTTACGACGGTTTGGGCCCTTGCGCGGGAAGGGCCAGATCTGGGGCAATTGGGGAACGAACTGAGACGTGGTGGAAATGTTGACAATGGGCTTGTGTTGGGGAGGCCGAGGAAGATGAGTTTCAAGTTGAAAATGCGCCGCAGGGCTTTGACCCAGGCAGGGGAACGCCGCGAAGATCATGTTCTGCGCTTGAAAGCGGGAGGCTTGCGCAAGGCCGCAAGATTCACCTTTGTTTTGTTTTTCCTGGCCGCGCAAGTTAGAAAAGAGACTTGAATGGTTCAATATCTCAGACTCAACCAGCCGTAGTTGTAGTAGTAGTAGAAGTAGTGGTAGTAGTAGTAGTAGTAGTAGTAGTAGTAGTAGTAGTAGTACAACTAGAAGTGGCAGTACCAGTCTAGTATGCGAAGTACAGGTTTCTAGCTCTAGCTGGAAAATCGCACCTTTGTAGTACAAGTCTAGCACGCGAAGTACAGGCTTCCAGCTCTAGCTGGGGAATCGCAACTTTTGTAGTGCAAGTCTGGTGCGTGAAGTGCAACTTTTGTAGTACAAGTCTTCCGCGCGAAGTGCCGGTTTCCTGAAGTTCCCCCAGTAACGCATCACTGAGGCTTGCCCGCAATCACGGTGTTGCCAGCTCCACGAATCCGTCAAAAGAAGGCAGCGCCAAACCCTTGAGCGTCACAGAGATCTGCTCCAGCGAGGCCGCCCGAACCCGCTGTCTATGGCTCGCCTACGCGCGATTTCTTTTCTTGCCGGTTGCGCTTCGGTTGCGCAGCGCAAAGCCGCGAAGCTGCGGCACGGCCTCGGCCTCGGACAGTCGCACTGGATCTTCCTCTGCGCCGTGGCCGCAGCGTCTTGCTGACCGCTTTTTTGCTGACAGGGAACCTGCTCGCTGGCTCTTCACGCGGCTCACGCTGATCTTGTCCGGCTCGCTCGGTCTCTGAAGGCCATTGTGTCTTGAGCGTTGGGCGCGACTATCTGCCGCGAGGGCAGCGCGCGGGGCAGATCCATTAGCGCGCGCCAAGCTTCCAAGGAAGAAATCTCCTGCGGCGCAGCTGCGTGAATAAAAAGCTTCGACAGCAGCGCATGCCCGTAATCTTGATCATCTGGCATTTTGCAAACCCCCTCGTCTATGCGTGACAATTTTCGAGCTGTCGTTTTTTGACCGCCGCCAAGTTTGCCGACGCACTTGGTCAAGGCTTCATGCACCAAAGCCCCGCTTGCATTGAGCTGCAGGTGCACTTGCAGCGCGCAACGACTGCGAGGGCCGGCAACTGGCTGCACGCTCACGCGAAGCCGACGGGCAAACCTGTCGAAAGAGTATGCGCACATCAAAGCCTTGCGCAGAGCTTGCCACGCCAAAGTCCGACCCAGCAGCTAGCGCACGTGAGGCAGCCAAGCAGGACGAAGCATGCCACGTCCAGCTCCCAGCAGAGCCGCAAACTCGGTGTCTGGATCACGCTGGTTCATGTTGAACGTAAACGTTCGAACCTCGCCCGGCTGGGACCGCGAGTGAATGCTCGACAGCATCTTCGCCCGGCGCAACTTCGCATTCTGCCCATAGAGGTGGAAACTCTACTGGCAGTCTGCTGCTGCGACCGTGCGTGTCGCAGGTATTCGTGGGCCTTCGGTCTGCGAGCTCGACGAACCAGCTGGCAGTCGTTCATCATGAGCAGCCTTTTTCAGCGACGCCAACGGCGCATGGATGCCACTGCCCGTCGAAGCAGGGACTGCTCTTGCGCAGACAGCATCTGGTATTGCTCGCTCAAGTCTTCGGACCCGTCATGCTCTGAGTGTGTGTGTGTGTGTCACGGCAAGCCTGCTAGTGGACGCGCGCGCTCACAGCGTCGAGAGTTACCTCTGGCCGTCCAGAAAGTCTCCGCATTCAAGTTCTGCTCTTCGTGCTGCGCGGGGTCCATGCGAGGCGTCATGCTACCAAAGTTGATCGAGCGCAAGAGCCGCGCTATACTTCTCTAGCACAGCTCAAGGTTGCGAAACGACAACGATTAGAACAAGTCGTCTCGCAGCCGCTTCTGGCTCACGCTGCTCAGAGAATGGCCTTGGCTCCGTTTCTGGTCGCGCGCCCTCGGGCACGGCCAGCCAAGGCTGCTGTCAAGAGCGCGTGCCGCCTAGAGCCGCGGGATGGCGAAGATATCTTGGCCGCTCAGGCGTTTGCTTCCTAAGACCTTGTTTTGCGGCAAAGGAATCCGGAACAGGAGTAGTTGAAGCAGTAGTAGAGTGGTAAAAGCCGCAGTAGCAGTAGCAGTAGCCATGCATAGCACCAGTGGAGTAGTAGCAGTAGTAGTAGCAGCAGCAGTAGCACTAGCACTGGTGGAGTAGTGGAGTAGTAGTGGTAGCAACAGCAGTAGTAGTCGTAGTAGTAGTAGAAGAAGTAGTTGTAGGGTGTTACAAGTACTAGAACTCGCACGGGCGCAAACAACACACAGGAAAGAAACCACCATGCGGCGATCGAACAACTTGCCCCACGTCGACACTTGCTTCGTGGCTGGGAAGGGCAAAACGTTTGCTGAAACGTCTCCAGCCACCACTCCTGAAACGTCTCTAGCCCAACTCAGGGCCGCCCAACAGCTCGAGATTCAGCTGAGCGGTCTCAAGAGTGGCGCACTTGGGTTCTCCGGCAGAAGTTGGGCTTGGCGGGGCTGCCTGCAGTTGCAAGCTCAAATCTGCTCCACTCTGTTCCCAGCATGCTCGTATACGCTCATTGCTGAAGAGTTTCATGCTTTCAGGCTGAGTATTATTCCAAGTTTATTCCTGAAACACGATCAACAGCGGCTGTTGGAAAAAACAAGTACCTTCACAGCACGTAGCGGACCCGTAGTAGCTGCTTGCCTTGTAACAGGACGGGCAAATCAAAGCAATCCGGAATTGTTCACAGATGCAGTGCCTGCGCCGCAGCTTGTGGATCAGACTTGACTGTGCTTCTGTGCTTTTCTCGGCTTTCATCTGCTCAACGTCTTCCATAGCATTTCGCCCGTTACTGCGAGAGAGCAGCGCCAGTGGGCCACAGGTCCGCGCAAGACCGTGAAACAGTCCGCCTCTGTGAACCCCGTGCTCCGGCGCTGGGGCGTTGCTGGCAACCGCTCCTGGCGTCAACTGCTCACAGGCCTGCAAGCAAACTCCTTCAAGCATAATCCAAGGCCTGCTGGGCAAACGCCAGAGGAAAGAAACTCTTGCATCTCTATATCTCTGCTCAACTCTGTGCCCGGTTCGTTCCTTCTCCGCGTCAACTGCTTGGCGCTTGGCAGGTGGCTTCTGCGCCTGCAATTGCTGCGGAAAATGCTGGGCACGCCTAAATCCGTTGGATGGGACGGCGCCTCGTCGCAGCTTTGAGTGAAGACTAGCGTCCATTAGGCCGTTGCGCGCTGGGCAACGGACCGAACAAGCTAATAACCTCTTGCAAACACCCCAACATGTCCGTGCGTTCAGTTCAGTCAACACAATACGCACAGCCACCAAAGAAACGTGTCTGCCGCGCAGAACAGGCGCTTCGCGAGCAAACGCGGCTCGATTGGAGCGCCTGAAGTTGCCGCTTCCTCACCTGACGGGAATCGTCACACTCCCGCCGGCAAACTACGTGACTTCCGTGGGACCGGGACCTTGTCCGCGGTTTTCGCACGTTGTTTTTCTTTTGGGCCTCTACTCTTCTACTTTTCCGGCGGAATTGTTTATGGCTGGCTTGGGGTTGGTTTAGGGTCGGTCTGGGATGGGGGTGTGTGCGGCGCGGACGGAGCCGCGCCGGTGCGATTTGGTCCGACGGCGGCCGTGCTGGTGGGATTGTGCTTCCGGGATGGCTCTAGGCTTGGTTTAGTGTTGGTTTACGGTTGGTTGGTTTAGTGTTGGTTTGGGGTTGGTTTCGGGTTGGTTTAAGGTGCTCAGGGTCGGTTTAGGTTGGGGTTTGGGGCTGGCTTGGGTTGGTTTGGTTTAGGGCTGGATTTGGGTTGGTTTAGGCCTGCCAGGAGCGCTCGCGGATGCGGACGGAGCTGCGCCGGTGGGGTTTGGTCTGCGAGCTGGACAGAGTTGGTTTAGGGTTCAGGGTTGGTTTCGGGTTGGGTGTTGGTTTAGGGAAGGGTTTAGGGTTGGCTTAGGGCAGGTTTTGGGCTAGTTTACGCTTGTCTTGGAAGTAGAGGAGCAGTAGAAAAGACATCACTAGAAGAGCACTAGAGACGAGCCAAACGAAAACTGAACGAGCACCCGAGAGGCAAAGCGTTGGTTTGGGGTCGCTTTGGCTTCAAGTTTTGCTTGGTTTCAAGCTGGTTGTTGGGTTGTTTTAGGGCTGGCTGTTTCAGGGAAGGGGCGCTAGAGTAGGAAAAGATCGATTTAGGGCTGGTTTGGTTTAAGGCTGGTTTAGGATTGGTTTAAGGTTGTTGCGGGGTTGGTTTGGGTTGGTTTCGGGTTGGTTGTGGCGTCGGTTTGGTTTAGGGTTGGTTTGCGTCGCGGGTTGGTTGAGGGTTGATTTAAGGTTGGTTTAGGGTTGGTTTAGGGAAGGAGCACAAAATTTCACAAGAGTTCACTAAAAGAGTGCTAGATCAGCACTAGACTGATCCTTTAGGAGCACTAGTCGGAAGCAAAAGAGGAGCAGTAGAGGTGGAGCGCGAGAAAGCACTGGAAGAGTACTAAACCAGATCACTCCGAGATGACTGGGGATCACCAGAAGAGCCAGAGGAGCAGTAGAGGAGAAGCAGCAGTAGAGTACTAGAGCAGCACTACACAAACACTAGAGAATGCACCAAACGAATGTGTGGGGTGGCCGCAAGTTAGGATTTGTGTAGCTTCTTCAAAGATTGTGGCCAGGTGCGGAGAGCGCTGCCAGAGTACTTGGGGAGCACTACAGGAGCGCTGGAGGATCTTTGGAATATCACATGACTAGAGCAACTAGAGGATCACTAGAAGCGCGCTAGGGGAGCAGTAGAGTGTCCTAAAGGATCACTAGAGGATGACTAGAGAGGAGGAGCAGGATTTAAAAACAGAAATAATGACCCGGAAGATGCGAGTGAAGGAAAACCACGCCCTTCTCCTCTGGCCCCTGTAAAAGGATACTTCAGTCAAATTCAGCAGCCTCTCAAGCGCCGTTGAGACTCTTGCTATTTTCAACGGAATGCTTAACAATGGCTTGGGGTCACGTCAGTCCAAGAGCGAACCGGCGAGGCCCGCCTCGACCAGAGCATTCCGCGCGACAGCGTCTGCCGCATCAACCTGTCTATCCTCTACACAGGACTTTGCGCCACACTTTTTGTCGGCTTATGAGCCAATACTTCGCGCGCGTTACCCACAGTCTTTACGAAGGGCGCAAACAGCCTGACCACATTCAACCTGCACCAATGATGTCACACACACATGTGCGTCAGAATTTTGGAGCGCACAGACCGCACGTGCAAAGCACAGTTGTCATAGGCAGTGTGAGAACCGCTCCCTCATTCACATTCATCACGTTAAAAAGAAAAACACGACTCACCCCCCCTGACTTTTAATTTACCCAATTCTAAACCGCCACTAAAAATCTGACAGACCTTGTTAGGCGGCACTTTCAGCGCTTCCTATTTTTCAATAATCACATGTTGCTTCCGCCTTTTAACTTTGAACTGACAGATCCTTTGGGCAATTCCATGTAATTTCCTTACTCGGCAGATTACGATCTTGCCGGGCGGTTTGCATGAGGAATCCGCAAGATTTCTGGGGCCCTGCTAACAATTATGCGGGAGAGTTGTCGGTCTCGGGGTCTAATAATTGGTGGAAGCAATGGTCAAGATGTTGCAAGCTGGAGGCGTTGATTGGCACGAAACACAACTCTCACTAAGTGCTGCCAACGCAGTGTGCAAGATTGCTGAATGACATTCGGGATGCTGCACAACGCAGCTTCCTGCACTGCGGGTAAAGTGCAATGGCAAAAGCCGGCCTCCACCACTGTCATCACTGGCGCAGCTTTAGCAAAACCGGCCTCGCTCAGCAACCAACACCAACACTTGACAGTAGCGGCATTATAGGCACTCAACAAATGGGCTTCGGGCAACCTAACTTCTTCCGGAAAGATCATGTGTGTGACTGGTTTGCGAGTTGCAGTGTGGAGCCGTCTTTGTTGTTGCCGGTGCCGTTGCAAGCACAGTAACTACACCCGGCGGATGCCACCCTGCCACCCGAAACAACTGGCTCGCTTGCACTTGAGGGACTTGAAACGGCCCTTGGAACAAACATCGAGTTTTCGCGGATCTGAGGAATCGTTCGACAAAACTTGCTCCGGAATGGCCCTGCCGACGCTAAGGCCTTTGGGCACATAGCGCCGGCGGAGCATCAAGGGTGTTACAAAAATCCTGCGCGTTTCCTCGCCAGCAAGACGGAGTCTGCAAGTGTGTGCGTAAACATAGAAGAGTGCACGCAGGAAACCACAGCTGATTCTTTCGCACCGCTTTGCGCAAACTCCCTGGCTGATCTTGCTCGGGCGCAAAAAATCAATGCTATACAGTTGTAAGTTGTGCGGCCGCTTACATCTTAAATCCTCACAAGGAAAAGGTGGAACACTGCGGGTAGAAAGGCGTCATGCCCTATCAGCTCCTGCCTCGGCACTGGTGCTTGCGCATGTCGTCACCTTCACCTACAGGTTGCGCCAGCAGAAATAGCAGCATGTCATGCTGTGGGACGCATGCTTGCAGCGAAGGGTTCCAAAAGAGGTTCGGGTGGAGGGTCAGGCGCGGCCTACGGAAACCAAAGCCCGACGCAGCCAAGTGGTTGAGAATTTCGGTAGGCCATGCCAGCAACTTGATCCTGTGCCACTCATACAAATCAAGCAAGCCCTTTGTTTAATGCAGCGGCCTGCTTGACGCTTCATTTGCTGTCCAGAATTTCACAACAACTTGCAACTGACACAGCGCTGGAGCGATGATTGGCTAAAGAGCGCGTTCGGCAAACTATTCGATAGCCCCTGACCCTGCAAATAACCCTAGCCAACAAATTTGCAAACACTTGCGGGCTGTCGGAAGTTGCTGCCTGAACACCCAAGCTAATCTGACTCAGAAATATATTATTTGCACGCAGCACGCCCTTGATGCAGCAAACGCCCTATCCTCTCTTTCCCCAAGGCGCGATTCACAGCACGGCAGTAGCCACGGCACGATCGAGCCTTTTCACCGATTGGGGTCGTGGGGCGTCGCCTCCCCACAAAGCACTCCCCAATTAGGTGAGGAGCACGCTGTTGGCCCCAAACACGGACCGCGAGCTTCACACTCCACAGGCCGAGGTCATGAGTCGAACTTGCCGGGTGGCTTGGTTGCTGTCTTGCTGCAGCTGCCTTGACAGTTGATCGGCCGCCACGGCCATTTGGGGATCGTGCCAGGTGACGGGCTCTCAAGACACAGTCGGACGGGATTTTGACGGCGTCACGTTCAAAGGTCCTCGGGCCTCGGTAGTTGCGCGCCGAAAAGTACGGAAATGAGTCGCAACGACCGGGTCCCGCCGTCGCACGAGTATTTCGTCACCTGTAGGAATTTGCAGGGGTCGAACCTAATTTTGTAGGACTCCACGGTCATCATAGTAAACAAAACGTACACTGGCGGCAGATCTGCGCACACTCTTTTCTCTGGACCCCCTCACGCACCTCAGACATGCGGTTGCCACGCATCCTTGGTCATTGAAGGGGCGCTGCCAGCTGAGCTTGCGTAATGAAAGACTGGTGGGGGCCATGGCCCGGGACTTACCAAAGATAAGCCAGGGGCCTTGTGTTCTGATTGTGTTCTTGCTTTTGCAGACCCACGCGAGACCTACTCGACGCTACTTGGAGCCAAGTTGAGTGATGTAAAGGAGGGCCTCTTCGCCGGCTTGCGGTTGGTAACGCCGTGTGAGAGGTTGTCGCCCCTCGGTGAAAAACGTCCGCGCCAAACGCCAGGTCCGAGCCCATCCAGCGGTTCCCTAGCACTACAAAGAACATGCTCAAGCCATTCGGGCACTTTCCCTCCTTCCCTCCCTCCCCTCTCTGTCTCTCTCTCTCTCTCTCTTTCCCTTCTTCTCCCTCTCTCTCTCTCTCTCTCTCTCTCTCTCGCTCGCTCTCTCTCTCTCTCTCTCTCTCTCTCTCTCTCTCTCTCTCTCTCTCTCGCTCTCTCTTTCTCCCACCCACTCTCTCTCGCTGTCTTTCCCCCTCTCCGTCTCCCTCTCCGCACATTTGGCCTTTGGCATTTTATTCTAAAATTCGCCTTGGCCCTTGAATCGAAACACCCTTGGGGATCGTGAGGCTTCTTGTGTTTTTCGGAAACGGGTTGCCCATGTGTTGCGCGGCGCCCCCTGCTTTACAACATAGGCAGCTTACAAAAAAAGAAAACCGGACCCCCACACAGTGGGGTGGAAAAACGATGGCCAATGACCATCTGGCAAAGAAAAAACGAGAAACAACAACGAAAGCACCAGGAATATTAAAACCAGTACGTTTTGTTGCGCTGGGCCAGCGAAGGAAGGCTGAAACAACTCAGCAAACTTACGGGGAGATTTCTTGAGCGTCAGCCCGCGCGTTGCTCTTGTGGCTAATTTGCGCCTGGCTGAGGCGGGCAGCGCGCAACGTTCAGTACACATTCCAAGTAACTTCGCGAGCTACCAAAAAACGCAGACAGCTGAAAGTCAAAGAAAGAATCTCATGTGTTTAAACGAAGGCAATACTATGTTATGGCCCTTGTGTGTGTTCCCTCATCCTGCCTTGGCACCAGTGCTTGTGCCGGAGGCCTTCAGCTCGTTGCGCAGCCTAGACAAAGGGCGGTATGAGTGCGATGCCAGACAAAGCAAAAAAGGCCTGGCTCAGAACGCATGAGGTAAGAAAGTAAGAGGCCAAAATGCCGGTCCGAAGAACGCAATATTCGCGCGATGTCAATGTGCGTTACAGAAACAGCAAATATGCAACACACAAGGCGGCTTCGTGTCAAAATAGCGTCAGCACATATGCAATCTGATTTGGTCTTCTGCAAGCATCCAGTATGGCGCAGTAGTGCGATGCAGTTGCTTGAGTTACATGTGTCACACGCGGCGCCTCTTCAAGTCGAAGTAGTATCCAAGTCCACGTACGTCAGTGCCAAAGTAGTAGCCTGGTGAAACCACGGACTGTGTGCTGAACTTGATATCCTGGGAGAGCCCTTCAAGCATCCTCACAAATGCAATTGCTTCTGAGGGAAATTACGTTGAGCTTGCTGCGCATCAACATTGACAGCACACTTCCCACAAGGCCCCCATGGCCAAACTAGACGCCTGAAAGCTGTCGTCAGGACTTTGAACACAAAGCAGCTGACGCATGTGCACCGGTGCCTTCTTTCGGCCCTAAGTACTGCTCAACTGCGATGAACGGCCTGCCCGTGGACCACAGGGAGTCGTGAACCAAGTCACTCGCACGGCGCGCGTGTTGAACCAGCACAAAACGAGGCGCAAAAACAAGGGGAGGTAGGACAAAAATCGCGCGTGTCAAACGGCGCGCGTCAAATCACCTCCCACGCCTGGGCATGAAAAGCAATCCCCTTTCGTGGCGCTTTTGCAGAGCTTTGGCACACATCCTGCTGCATTTTCAGAAGCTGGCGACCAGCCTGCGCACACTGATGAGCAAATATATACACTCTCGCACGGTCGAAGCCTGCGCTTTCTGGAAACGCTTCTGCAAGGTTTCGCAGGGTTTTCCTTGCGTGGAAGCTATTTAGAAAACCGTTTAGGCGCTGCTCAAACGAGTCATTTGCACTCATTTGCTTTCTGGGTGTTGAGAGCTTTGTTCTCGGACGCTTGCGTCTGCCAAGCTTGCGGACGGCTTACTCTCCCACAGAAACGACCTGGACCGTGTTGACTAGACATCGCGCCTACGCCGCAAAAACGGGCCGCCCGCTAGACTTGGCACTTCAATTATTTGGCAAGCGAAAGCTCACACCTTTGTGAATACAGCCCTCATTCACATCCGAAAGACAATCCGGTCTTTGCCTTTCGTTTAAGGTTGGTTCAGCTGGTTCTTCCTTCTGCTCAAGTTAGGACCCATTCAGGGTCGGTTGGGTGGGGTTGCTCAAACTGCGGAAGTGAGCTGAAAAGCAGGGAATACACTGTAAACTTCTGCCACCGGAGCCTTTTCACATCGGAGTAGTAGCCAAGTCCACGATCACCAGTGCTGAAGTAGTATCCTGGAAGCATGTCGCTAAACGACAAGCCCCGTTGAAGCAGAGGAAAAGCAAATCAGAATAGACATATCAAAACCGTGAGTGTGTCATCTACTTTCAGCCACGCAGTGAATAGAGCGATTTGCGCGTTGCCATACACAGGGAGGCTAGGCCCCCAAGAAGCCAAAACCGATCTTGCAATTTTCCACAGTTTCACTGAGCCATCGCTCACTCGTCATTTCATAGAAGCGCCTGCCCTGGGTCCACGGTAAGCGGACTCGATGAAAGGCCTCGAGGGCAGGTCGAGCTTCTTGGCCGTCACTTTCCTCCCTTCTGCAAATTCCCGGAGCCGGTTCACATCGTGTTGCTTTCGCCCTGCAAAGCACGGTGCGAATCTGGCTGCGCAGGCCTTGGTCCCGGCAGAAGCAATAGTAGCTCCTGCACATTGACCAACGCCGGGAGAGACGCGCGTCAGCACGTCAGCGCCTTGTCCAAGTCAGCATCGTCCACATCAATGGAGACCCTGCAGCATCAAGCTTCAAGGACATCTGCTTTCGAAACACACACACACACGCAAGCCCCTAAGGCAGCTTAAGCGCGTTTCAATGTTGCATTTGGGGACATGCTCCCTGCAAACCAATCAACTGTGGGGGAACCGCCGGGCAAGCATGTAAGAGAGGGGCTGGTTGGCCCATCTCTGCGCAATGATCAGCCATTCAATCAGGGGGTCTAGAATTAGGGGCGCTCGGCTCCCACACCGGTTTGCCAATTTTTTGCGTTTGCCAATGTTTGCCAGATGTTGCCGGATGTTGCCAAAATTTGGCAGAATTTGGCACCAGCGGGCAAGCAACATGCATGGTTCGCCGTGGGTCATGAGTCGAGTTGAAGAGCCACTTGCAAAGCAACATGTCTGTGGCAAGAACCATATGGCACAAATGCAAACAACCTGCCCATTTGAACATGAGTAACCGCACATGTCGTGGACAACAACACATGTACGCGAGAACACAACTCATCACAGACACACAAACTTAACAGCACGCGTGCGAGAGTTAAATGTTCGTCGCTAATAAAACTCATCTTACTCTGCCCCATCCAATTTTAGATTGTTCAATTGCTCACAACTATGAACGCTCAAGCTTGTCAAGGCGCCAAGCCACTCTAAACATCACCACCATTGCATCAGCAAGTCAGTGAGAATGCTTCGCTCGTTAGCTGCTGAGATGATCAGGAGCGCAATTTTTCTGTTCAAAGCCAAGAGCAAATTACGCCCTCAGCACCAACAGTGTGTGTGTGTGTGACACAGTGGACGTTAGCAGACTAGGACAGTGCCCCTGGAGCCCCTGACGAGGAGGCACGTGACCAACGCTTGCTGAGGCTGCTGTCAGGAATTGGACAGCATTCTACAACGCAAGGCCAGCATGCCAGGTTGGCTGTCGGCCGGGCACTGCGACTCGCTGCAACAAAGGCTTCCCCGCAACGCGCCTGCAGCCGGCTAAGCTGCATTGAAGGTGTTCTTGCTTGGGAACCTCTTGGGTAAACGTTTCTTAAAAACAGCTTGCCGAGCTGAAGCTCGATCTCCACGGATCGCACTGTATGAACAAGCTTGCCCTTGTCATATTCAACTATACACTTGCGCTGCGCTCACGCCTGTCTCGCCAGCGACACGCCTGGCAACTCTAACACAGGAAAGCTCTCGCCATCCCCGAGCAATGCGTCCTGGATGTCCGACCGCATGGAGAAGCGGCTCATTGACCCCGGCTGGTGCACAGGGCCAGCAACTGCGTTCGCAGTTGACCCACACATGACCCACACCTACTTGCTACGGTTGCAAGCTCCCGCAGGTAGTAATTGCTGCTGTCACGCCGCTGGGATGGCTGCGCAATTTACCAGCACAAACAACGGACAATGGCCTGGGCCTGCCAATGCAACACGCAAGCCAGCAGCACAAGGTCCATGAAGCAAAAGACCTCGAACAAAACCCTCCACAGCTGCTCGCAGCATCTTTTAACTCTCCAGTTCAGCTGGTTGAGCTTGTTTTCAGAAACCTCTCCTTGCAAAAATCGAACATCATCTCCCGGGCGACTCGCACCGACTTCGAACTCATCGAGGCAACCGTCCAGCCGTCGTAGCCTGTGCCACACAGCGACACAGGAAGATACTCAATCTCAGGCAGTGGGGGTCAATCATGATACTGGTTAGTGAGAATAGTATTGCAGCTTGAGCAAATCGCACACGACATGAACCGAGTAGTACTGTGGTGAGTTTTCTGGCTGACATAGTTAGCCTAGCTTGCACCATGCTGACTGTACGGGTTTTGTCGGAGACATGCAAGCAGACATCATGGGTGTGTTCCCTGAACGCAGGTTGAGCAATGATTGAAAAGTATGCGCGTGCCAACATAGTTTGACACAGACATGTAAACATCACGCGTGTTCTGCCATGGGTCATGGCTCGCGCTACATCTGTTTGCAAACTCATGCCCGCTTTCCACGGGGCTCAGTCAGTGGGGTCCATGTAATAACACCGCTCCAATGTTCGACTGTTGTTAATGTTCGACTGTTGTTAAGCTTGCCCCATCGACTGTTGTTAAAATGATCACAACTAGTATAGCTCAAGTTTGTCAAGGAGCAAAACCAAACAAACAATGACTGTCATTCCGTCAGCAAGTCAGTAATGTTTGGAGTGCTCCGCTTCCTTTTTAACGGCACATGATCAATTGCCACAGTGGTTATTTCGCGGTTTGCGCACAAGCCAGCGTCTCAAAGCAGAAGATTTTCCTGGAGACGCCAGCTTACACGCGACGCAGCAAGAAAGTGGCGCCACTGCATGGCGCCAATGCAATGTTTCAGGATTGAGGCACTCCAACGCAACGCTCAAGATTCCACAGAAAGGCAAGGCGCCATTTGTCCAGAGGCACTGGTGTGCCTTGGCCATTAAACTTTGTCAGTCGAAGGAACTACCAGTTGAGTATGGACAAGCTTGCCACATTGATCTGTAAAACCTTGCGCTGCGCACGTGCGCGTGAGCATGACTATCTAACCGTGGCAACATCCATGCGCGCAGCGCATCACGTCATACCTTCCAATTCGACACCAGCGCAAGTGACTTTAATGATTCTGATGGTAGGGGCTACAGCGATGGTGACAGCCCTGAGTCTTTCCCACACGTGCGTCTGCTGGAACGCTTTTGGCTCCATCAGAGAATATCCAGTCAACGCCGTCACAAGCACGGATGTCACTGCAACACCCCGCGTCAAGACCACTTCGCCGCTGGATGCTGCTGTCACGTCCGTGCTCTGCGTGTTACTCTATTGAAGACGCACCCAACGGTCTCTTTCGTCGCTTGCTTTCGTACTACAGAGCAAGATTGCAGAAAGGAGCTTTGGAGGGTTTTCAAGGTCTTTTGCTTCATAGCTTCTTTGACCTTGTGCTCTGCTGGCTTGCGTGTTGCATTGACAGGCCATTGTTTGTGCTGACCACGCAGTCACAGAAAGGGCCTGCAGGAGTCTGCAGCTTGAGTAAGCGTTTAGAATTAAACGCGAACGCAGCAGAAACCTGACTAACCTGCCAGGCATGGCGCTTTAGACTTGACAATGCGCAAGCCGATGTGCTCTGAGTGCTTCACGGCTCGGCGGCGTCAGCGAAGTCTTCGCTTTGTTTCCCATCGTTGTCTGCGAGTCTTGGGGCAAGGAACAGTGACGTGGCGCCGGCGAGTTCTTTGGCAACATACCAATCAACTACAGCTCAGCTTGAGCCTTCAATGGCGCAGGATGGCATGAATGACTGGCACGCTGCAACTTCTGGCTTGTTTTCGTTGACAGTACTTGCGCCGTGACCAATCAGCACTCGGCCCGTTGCTCCGCCAGCCTTTGCCGGACCTCTGATGCCACGACAATGACGCCCGCCAAACTCCCCCTTCCTGGTCGCAAGCCCCAAATTACATCTCGCGAGCTTCTGCCCGTGCTCGAAAACTCCTCGACGTTTGATGGCCGCCAGCTGAGAGTGGTTTGATACGAGCGCCGGGAAGCTGTGGCGCGAGCTGCTTCTCTGTGACACGTCAATGATTCTTGAAGCCCAGGACCTGCGTGGCTTTGCAAACCACAACGCTGCAGGATCAGAAGGCCTGGGAAACCTCGTAATGATTGAGCATGCGCTCGTCTGATCCGCGTCATTAGGCCACAGTGAGACACTGGCCATGGCCAACGTAATTGTTTCCCAGACTCAATCTGCGTGGCGCAAGTCACGGTCGTGCCACAAACCCTTACACTGGCTGCCAGCCACCGTCCGTGATTGAGCATCACACAGTTGAGTCAGTCAGTAGCCATTGCATTTGGTGACTGCCAGCTTGTCGGCCTAGCACACACAGCATCTCTCAAGCGCCGGCTTACTTAGACAACTGAGACACCGAAGTTCTGAATGCGCGCAAGCGTCGCAATTGAGGCCTTGCCTGCCATGCTCACAATTAGGCAGGAGGAGCCACTTGAGCTACAGGGCAAACCAGACTCAAGCGCTTGAGCAACAATCCGACAACCAACCAATGAGTGATTGCGACTGTCCTTCAGCTGCAACTTCAATGGCCGTCCCCTGGCCAGTGCAACAGGTTGCTCTGCCTGGGCGGCATACACTGCGCCCGCTCACTGTCTATTAAGAAACGCTCATCGCGCCATGTCTGTCTCATTACAAGCCGAAGGCGAAAGTCAGGCGCGCAGCGCAGTGGAATTTGACAGCACAGAATTGGGCCTTGTGCGCAAGTACTCTTTGGGAATGATATTGTCAGTGGAACTTCAGACGTGCAACTGTTTTATGTCAACGGCATCAAAAACTTCTCCTGGATCAAAAGTCTCTATACTGCAAGGCAAGCTTCTTTCGGTTGACATAGCTCTCCCCTTTCTCGCTCAACCGTGAATTGCTGAGACCAGGGGAAGCGAGGTCTGACTTTGAAAGCGCCCGGAGTGGGTCCAAGGCATCGAACAATCTCCTGATCACGAAGGTGCCCGAAATAGTGAGCACATTTCACCGCTCGTTTAGTCTTCCAGCCGGCCTGGATACGGGCCACACACATGCAAATGCTCAAGATGCTACACGGGCTCCCATGTTCGTGTCACGCATGACAGCCAGGCCCAAACTGGATTTTTGCAATTACCCCGCGCCAAATTAAACGATAGCATGTTGTTGCAGAAGGCACGACGCTCTTTATCCTTCAAACGCTGTGACAGGCCCTCTGTTCGTAGCGCAGGCTCAGAGCTGGACGCTTGGCGAGACCCAGCGTTAGAATCAGAACCTGACTCGGCACCACGCCAGCTTCAGCATAGCGACTGGCACGGGCTGACGAATCAACAAACCATTTGAGCCGGCTCAGCGCAGAATGGTGAAATAATAAAGGACCAATGACTTTGCATGATTGGCATGCATCAAAACAAACGTCAATGGCCACAAGCACAACCGCCCACACTCAATTCCTATTTTGCACTAGTGGACAGCGCATCGGGTCAGTTGGCATCAGCCCCGGGACAAAGATGCCTGTGACTGCTCAGCTACGCCTCAAAGCCAAGCAACGCTTCAATGATCACGGATCAATCTTTCCAAAGTCTGAGCTGTGGGACTGGCAAGAACTGCTTCAACGCATTCCGATAAAGCGGGCGCTTCCATTTTGTTCAGGCAAACGTGTGAAAGCACGGCCCACCATTTACTCCGTCATAATCACACTGTTTGTTTTCTGGCCTGGAATGAGCATTGATTGAAACGCTCAGCGTGTCTGACCAGTGCTGCGCAAAAAGAATCATGGCCCGCCATCTCCAGTGGAGCGACTCATTTTCAAACGGGTCGCTCTTGTGTCGCTGCCCGTGGCCACAACACAGTGGATCCTGCCCCAATGAACTTGGACCTTCCCAGCCACGCATTCAAACGTTCATCGCTGAAGACACGCAAGCCGTCAAAGCCCAACACGCAAGGTTCTCCTGCTCAGCTTTTGACAAACCCTGCAGCGCACAAGTATACATCTATGTCTTGCCACTTGCTAACCGCAATTTTCCTGCAACTTGAAAGTGGCACAACCAGGGTAGAAAGTCAAGACCATGCTGCAGTCCTGAATCAGTGGAGGCCTCTTTTCAACAGATTCAGGTTTTTGGCAAAATCATAAGTTGCCTCATGCTCAGCGACTGGGGCGCGATGCCTGACTGCGCCTCCCCCAGCCATCCTACACTGCAGCACAGCAATATTGGAATGAGCCAAACAGCAGCAGTCACGAGTACGAATAGTGAACCAACGAAGCCTGACCATGTCGTCAAAACGCAATTCTCACGCACGTCATCGTTGTTACCTGATTTGCAACCGCGTCTTACTCGTGACCCAATGAAACTGAAATTACACGACCACCTGGTTCTGAATCGCCTGTGCGGAAAGGAGATGTTGCCCAGCGGGTAAGCCAAAGGGCGCCGAATCACAGCTTGCGCCAAGTGCAATTTGGCAGGCTCTGCGTGACGTCAAAGCCCCTTGGCTTTGCGTAATTTAATTTGTGAAGAGAGTGACAGGGGCGGACCTTGAGAAAGGGACGCAGTCTGAGTTCAAGACCTGTGGCAGTAAGTTGCCCCTGTCTGCACTTGAGTCCCTCATTGCTGCCATGACACCAGGCCACGACTCAAACACAGCACGGCCGATTTGCCTGGAAGGCACGCACCGTGTGGGACAGGAGTTGCAGTTGCAGCTGCGCAACAATTCCAACTCTTCTTGCCCCAGGAGCACAGTCAGGTTGGGCCATGAGCGTGTCCGACATCATGCGTCAAAAAACTCATGCAGTTTGAGCCAGTCCTGCCAAGCACCCTGAGTTCAACCTCATACGCTGAGAAAAAACAACATCAACGCCGCAACGTTCACGGTGAGTTGGAAACAGGTTCAAGCAAATTTAATTAAAATTCGCGTGGGGCCACAAGCGGTAAAGCTAGCACCCCTCATTCTAGACCCCCTGTTCGAGCAAGGGAAATGAAGCGCAGCTATGGGTGTGCCTTAGCGGGAATCTAATACCATTTTATTTTGGAGGCGCCCTTTTGACAAATACCCGTATGGCTGTGGCTCAAGCAAATGTACCGTTTAAAAGGTTGCCTATATCGAGCCGGCACGCGCCTTTCCCACGTCAAATCTTAGGTCCAGGGCACAGGCTTAAATGTTGCTAGCTTCTTCGGAATCAGCACGATCAAGGGCAAGCCATGTGCAACTCAAAACTTGCGGGCGCCAGGAACAACTCCCGCCTGTCAGACGATTTGCTGCCGTGGCTGTGTCTAGACTTCCGGGTGTACACCTCAGCTCACGGAATCAAAGGCTGCGAAGAAGCAGTCCGTGACGAACAAGGTGCGGCTCCGGCCACTTTATTGGGTGGAGTAGGAAGCGGGATTGTCTTACCCGCGGCGGAGCCAGAAACTGCACAGGCCACAGCGCTACAGCATGTTGGAGCCGCCGACCCCTTGCCAAAGAGGAGCACTACATCCTCGCGATCATCATCATGGTGATCATCAAACTAGGTTGGTCCTGCCAGAAGCTCCTCTCGTCGTTTGATACCAACTGGGGGCTGGTGATGCTGGGGCAGTGTCATCATGACTGCTGGTGACACTGGGGATGCATCGCGCTGAAGATGACAGCCATGCGTCTCAAGCCAGGTCTAACGGGCATTTGAAAAACGTGTCAAAAGATAAGGACGTGATGCTGATGAACCGTCCCGCTCCCGCAAAAAAAAATCACTCCCGAACACGAGTGCCATAAGTTACTCAGCGCTCAGCTATCCGTGCCGTGGACTTTCTGTTTCACTTACTAGCGCTCCTACCTTATACCGCAGGACTGCCGTTCCCTGCGTTTTCCCCGCGTCGCATTTACTGTCTCCTCCGTCCCTTTTCTCGAGGGCTTGTCCGCCATGGCTGCTGCCGCGCGCGTGGGCAAGTCCGGGCAGTTGACTCTGGCCATAGCCGCGCGAGGCTGAGCTGTGCGCTCGCGGCACCGATCAGCTGCGCGGCAATGGCCAAGCCTTTGTGGCCTGCCTCGAACGCAAGCTGCAAAACCATCTCGTGCCAGCCTCCCGAACCTTCCAACGCAGCCGCCCCCGATCCAGATCCGGCCAATACCTCTTCGGCGCTGTCCTCTGCAATAAACCGCTGCGCGCTACTCAAGACGCACAGACCTGCGGCGACTTTGCCAGAAGCAACTGGGAGGCCATGGCACGACCATGGCCTTTGTCCGCGCCAAATCTGCCGCGTTTCTTGCGCGAGTACACGCTGGCGACTGCGAGCTTGCAAACTGTGCGTCTCATGTCAAGCACATGCTTTGCTGGACGCACCGCGCGCGGGAACCTGCAACAAACTCGGCCCCGCTCGGCTTCTGTTGGCTTCGCTCGGCTTCCCTTGTCCGCAGCACAGATGGCCGCACAATGATGCAAGCAGTTGGCTTCACGTACCCTCCCTTGGCTTCACTTGCGTGCGCTTTTACGCACCTGGCTTGGCACTAACACCCCGCACGCCCTCACTGCAGAAGGGAAGGCGCCTCACCCAAGGCGTCCGCGCAAACGGTTGCGGGGACACGGTGTCAGTCCACAGCAAATGATGGCACCCCGCGTTGCCGATCTCTCGCTGCAGCAGCTGCATCACGGCCGGGAGCTGAGCCACTCCCGCGCCAGTCCCAAGCTGGAAGGAGTCGAGCTTGCCGCGTGGAATGTCTGCTTCCACGACGCCACCACGCCGCTGGACGAGGTCGCGGCGTCGCTCCGCCTTCTTTTCCGGCACACAGGCGCAATTGCTGCGGCACCAGGTCCAGGACCAGCGCGGCCTAGACCCAGCCCTTTGCCACGGCGCGGAAGAGGCACCAATCGTCTCCAGGAACTGACCACATGTTGCTAGCAAACACAAACTTGCTGCGTAGTTCAGACGCGCAACAGCGTTACGCCCAACCCTAAACAACGAGATGCGTGGCAACACTGTGCGGTCAACAGGCGCCGGTTGCTCAATCTGCTCGTCTGGCTTCCCTTCGCTTCACTCAGCTTCCCTCGGCTCGATCTGGCACAAGCGTGCTCGTCAAATTCCGTTGCCGACTACACATATCTTTCACGCTGCTTGGATGGGCGGCCTACTTGCTATGTAATTGGCGAACTTAGCCAATGCTGAGCAGTTCTATCCAGTTAGCCAAGTCCTCTAACTCGCCAAGTGGACTTAGCCAAGTTGTCAGTCCGCTAAGTCAGACTTAGCGGACTTACTAAGTCAAGTTAGGCGACTTGCAAGTGGCTTGGCAAGTCGCTTACGTTCGCCAACTACCTAGCAAGTAGGCCGCCCATCCAAGTGAGCTACGCCCTGCGCGGCAATCCGATTCGGCGTCGGATCGGCAAACACTGCCTTGGCTAGGAGCAGCACGCAGCGCAATGTCGACGCGCGGGGTGTGCGCTCGTGCTGCCTGACACCTGGAGCCGCCTATGCGGTCTCACGCGCGGAGCTACCCAGTGGCTTGACTTGGCACTTCGCACTGAGCTATGCTCTGCGGTCACACGCGCTCTGCGTCGGATGGTAAAACACTGCCTGCGCTTGGCACGGCAACGCGGTGCAACAGGCGTGGGCTGCTCAACCTGGTTGCTTTTGTCTGCCTCTCTCGGCTCTTCCACTGGCTTCACTTGGCTTCTTTTGGCAAAAGCGGTCTTGTCTCAAGCAGATTACACATGCCTTCCGCCTGAGCTGCGCTCTGCGCCCTCCTGCAGTAACGCTTGCGGAAAGCCGACGCGGCGTTGGAAAGAAAGGCGCTGCCGGAGCACTACGCTCTGCAGCGTGAGGTCAACGCCTGTGGGTCGTTCCATCTGCTCTTTGGTCCTTGGCTTCGCTCGGCTTCTGTCAGCTTCACGCGCAATCCGACTCTGCGTTGGATACGCGGTTCCACGCCCGAGAATTGAAAAACTTAGCAGCGCCCCGCCCTGCAGCTTCTTCTTCATGGCCGGAAAAGCAAATGACTTAGACGCACCCCGCAGGAAGCTTTGAGCAGATGACAGGCACTGAAGGGAATGGAAACAAAATGGCGGACTTCACAGAAGCGACGACAAGAAATCAAGAGAAAGCTTCCGAAATGGAAAACTGAAAGAGCCGAACGCCATGCCTCCGACCATGAGCAGGATGCCTGCCAGAATGTAGGGCGAAGGGTTCGCGGATTTGGATCGATTTGTGTAGCATCTTTTTGCGGGGTCAAAAAACAAATGGGGGGGTGCTCAAAGTGAACAGCTGGACAGCTGATGCAAGGCACGCTCACGGAAAACTGCAATCTCATGGGCAATTGAAGGACATTTGTGGAAAATTGATGGAAACTGGAGAAGGCACGGAATGGTAGAAAATGGAAAATACGAAACATGGAGCGAAAACGGGCGCAGCATGGATTTGGAAATAAAAGGAAAATGGGTGGGGCATGGCCACCGGGCCCGTACGTTTTGCGCTGCGCCACCCCTGCTACAAGGCGAAGGATTTGTGGGTTTGTTCAGGTGGCTTTTCGAGCATCTCCCCGCACGGATGTTGTCCACATTGGGTTGCACATAGATGGAGTGTGTGTGGAATATGTGTGCAACATGGATGGAAAGTTGATGGGTTTGATACACTGCAAATTCATGCAGAATGGGGCGGAACATGTCTGGAAAATGGATGGAAGCTTCATGGAAAAGGCATGGAGCTTGGGTGTGAATTCATGGAACGAATGGAAATGAAAGGAAATGAAGGGAGGTGAGGAGAAACCACGTAAAGTAAAACAAAATGCTGGGAATTAAGGCGTGCACACGCAAGGAAACTCAGGGGCAGGACTGCACATGAAGGGGTAAGGACACATTACCCGGACACCGGACGTGAAGGCCTAGCTCGGATACCTTCAGGCTATCTGCGCCACCCTGCTGACTTACCGAGAACCTAACCTATTGGCGCTGCGCCCGCCATAATATGGGGATTTGTTTGAGCGATTTTTGACGGTGTTTGTAGCATCTCCCCACGGCGGCAAGAAATGAGCACTTTGTGTGTTGCTGTTGTTCTCGGGGGGGTGCGCATAGTGGACAGCTTTTCAACTGGTTGAAAATGGATAGAAAATAGGGCCAGGCAATGAAAAATGGATTGCAGATTCCTGTAAAAAGGCGCACCCGCAATGCAAAATTGATGGGAACATGATGGAACATGGATGGAGTGGGACAGGCCCGGCGGCCGCCATGTAAATCCGGGCTCTCGGCCTTCCGACTGACGATCGCTTTCCAACTCCAGTTGGGGGAAGGCCCGAAACATTGAAACCCGGTTGAGTCGCCACCGATGTTCTCGGAAGGTTTGGTGTTTTGCGCATCGCCTGCGTCCCCTGCGTCGCCCACGTTTCGGGCCTTCGCACTCCCATCCTATACATCCATCCATCCACATCCATCCACCCGCAGCCCAGCCAGCCGTCCGTCCATCCACACCATCCTTCCCTCCGCCCCATCATCCATCCATCCATCCATCCATCCATCCATCCATCCATCCATCCATCCATCCATCCACCACGATGTTACGCGTCTACCCATCCATCCATCTTTGCGTCATCTGTTGCTGAATGGGGTCAGAACGCCAGTCTGGCTGACTTGTGGCCTTCTGGACAAAAATGTTTGCAATTCGTCGCAGTGTTGGGCCCAACAAGACGGCTGAAAAACTCTTCTCAAAGGTGAAAGTCAAAAACGAACCTTGCTCCAATCAATCCGTGATCCGTGTCCGACTCGTCCGTTCAGAACACCAAAAGTGTAGGCCCACAGCTAGACAAGCGGCAGCCACTCAAAGCCAACATGCAAAGCCCAGCGCCAAAACGCTAAAGTCGCCTGAAACCTTTAACTTCGGGTTGCTATGGCCAAAGGCGGCGCCCAGAACCCGGGAGCTCAGTTTGAGGGTGGCTTATGCGTTTGGAGGCGCCGGATCAAAACAGGGCGAATAGGAAAAAAACCTCATCCGCAGAACTTTAGCTCTGTTCTCAGAGGGTTCTGACCAATCTTTGTGAAACATACTCAGGACCGTTGCGCCCCAGCAGCACGTAGCGGCGTTGTGACCCGCGAGACAATGCGCGCCGGCGCTGGGGAGCTTGCCTGCGTCGCTACGCGGCCGCTTTCTGTGTTTCAGGCTCAAACTTGAAAACGTCTTGTCTGGGGCACATTGCCACAATCAAGCCCCTGCTCGGATGTTACCCATTCTTATCATTATCTAAGAATGCTTGGTGTTGGAGCGCCGGAAGCTCTCGAACGGAGCTGCGTTCATCGAAAGCAACCCTTGCGCAGTGTGCGCAATGAACCTAGATCTTCAACTCCCTCTCTTCAACTTCCCTAACCCAAACGAGGCTCAAATTAGGACCTTTTATGCCTTTCTACCATGGTGTTGATACTAATGAACACCTTTGCGCGTAGTGTTCTTGCGGGCGGATCGAAAACTGCGCGTTTAGTCGTCGCAAGCAGAGTTTCTCGCTTCGTCCTGTGTGCCGGAGGCGGTGGGCAATGGCTATGTCACGCGCTGGACATGCCAGGGATCAAGAAGATATGTTGGGGCGCTGCGGTATCTCCATTGCGTGGTTCTTGGTTCACGCAGGCCGAAGTGATAAATCGGATCATCTAAGTTGGTTGAGCTCAACGCGCATTTGAGCAACTTTAGACATGCTCCGTGAATCCCTGCGCCGCTTGCGCGCGTTGCTTGCGCTTCCCACGTTTCAACATAAGCAGTCGCTCGTGAGCACGTCAAGCTTGCTCGTTGCGTGCACATCTGCGCTTTGAGCGTGTCCGCTCTGGATTTGCTTACGCGGGCCCGTGTTTTTACGCGGCCACCACACCACCGTTCAAGAGAACACGTGGATGACTCTGAGGAGGAAGTAGGTAAAGAGTTGTTCTCCAGCAAATCAACTCGGCGCTGTTGCCCTTTTCGGGGTATTGGCTTTGTAACCAGCGCTTTGGATTTGTCCGTGCGGCCTCCAGCGCAGAAAAGCGAACGGCTTCTTTGCGGCACCATGGTGCGCGCTGCAGGAAGCCGTGCATCGAGCGAGCTTACGCCAACCTACACGACTGAATATGCAAAAGGAATAGCCACATATCGTTCTTCAACAGCGTTAGCCCCGCGTGTTTCCCGAAAGCCCTTACGCCGCGCTGGCGTGTCAAGGGGTCGTTAAAGCTGCTCGTTTGGCACTTTGGCAGCAGCCACGGGAAACATTCCTCGCGCACTAGAGCCTGCGCAGCCGCCCGGCTTGTCGCACACCAAACATGATTTTGCCGGGAGCGCCCGCGCAGGCACAGGGCGCGCTGAAATGCAGCACAGATGCTCAAAGCAGGGTTTGCAGCAGAGAGCTTGCCCTTGAGCAGAGAACTTCTCGGCGGAGGTAGCAGGAAGAAGCCGCAAGAACTCTTCTGCGCTCCTCTTTAGTTGTGACGCTTTAGCTGTTACATTCCTCAATTCATACCCAGGTGACCAGCTACAGCTGAGGCCGCACATGCGTCTTGCGTCAGACAGCAAATAAAAGGTGGGACGCCTGATGGCACGTGCCCAGCCACACCCCTCTAACGTCCCAGATGTTGCAGGCTGCGTTCTGGAACCAACATGGTTAAAGGGCCATGACTTCAGCAAAGTGAATGAGAACGGGGAAGACCTAGCAAGAAGCTTAACAAATGGTTGGCAGGGACAGTTTTGACCGCCCGCCACAAAATTTTCGATATGTTTTCCATGATGCAGGTTGGGAAGGCCGCGTTGACCAGTTGGGCCGGAGTGCAGCATACCCCAGTAGGCTAGGGGACGAGCGGGTAAAAGCCTGTTGAAACCATAAACCAGCCATGCGATGGAACGCGACGCCCCTACGACCCTGCCTGCGAGACTTCGGAGCTTCTGCCTGGCAACTCCGTCGCCTGCGACGGCTCCCCTTGCGCTGGCTGCGCCGGCTGTGGCTGCGCTGGCAACGCCATCAGTGCTGGGGCCCATGATGAGCTCGGCCGCGCGCTACTGCGAGGTTTCCGATCCCTCTGCAGGGCGGCAATTGCTTTTGCGGCAGCTGCTGCAGCTGCAGCGCTCGCCACGCTTTCGACCTCACCTCAGACAAATGGGCAGTCGCATGCTGCTGGCCTGTAGTGCAAGAACTGAACCCGCTTTCAAGCAGGTTGATCAGTCAACACGCTTGTTGTTGCGAAGCATCTAACGGCAGAAAGCCCCAGTTTACGCGCAAATACTAGCAACACTCCCTCAACAATAGCACGCCAGCATACAACCGGTTGCAGGAAAACCTCTTACTCTTCTTGATTAACAACTTTTGGGCTAGCTGTTGTTTACTTCTGTATTGACCCACAGCATCGCGGGCAATGGTATCTTTAACCTCAGCCGCAACTTTACTAGACGCGCAGCACGCAAAACATGCATTTTGGCGGCTCCAGCTCGAAAGCTGCAACCTTTCAGTACACGTGTAGCACGCAAAGTACATCTTAGCAGCTCCAACTCGAAAACCGCAATTTTTCAGCGCACGTGTAGAAACTTCCGCTCTTCAATCAGGGGTTCTTCAATTAGGGGTACTATGCTCAAATACAGACTTGCCTTTTTTTGCCAAGCTTTACAAGATGTTCCCAGGATTTGCCATCTGCCAGATGTTGCCAACGTTTGCCAAAGTTTGCCACCAACATGGAAACAACATGCATGGTTTGCCGTGGGTCATGCGTCAAGTTGAAGAGTCACTTGCAAAGCAACATGTGTGTGGCAAGAATCACAGACATGTTGTCTGCATGTTTGGATTGACTTGTGCGTTGCCGCGACCAAGATGGCTCGCAAACAATTACAGAAGCATGTGCGCGCGGACACAATTTATCGCAGACACACAAACTTAATAAAATGATGCGTGCAACAGTTAAGGATTAATTTTCGTCTTCCAATAAATCATCTTACTCTACTATAGCTCAAGCTTGTCAAGGCGCCAAGCCACTCTAAACATCACTACCTTTGCGTCAGCAAGCTAGTGGGGATGCTTCATCGCGCCTTAGCGCCCTTTCTTCTGTGCTGCTGAGAAAAAGGCCTGTCGACCGTCCGAGACCTCTGGCCATCTCACTCTGGGCGAACAAGCCATCGCCACCGCACGAGCTTGACAGCACGAACATCGCCCAGTCTTCGGTGACGATCAGTCGTGAGAGAGTAGTCTTCAAATCGTCGGATCGACCAATGAGAAGCGCCAGCGGGCATTCCAGGCGGGGCTCTAATTGAGAGGAAACCAGCACAGCATGACAACCAACCTGGCAGCGGCTTGCTGCCGCAAAGGCCTCCCCGCACTGCGCCTAAATGGAAGGTGTTCTTGCCTGGGGACCTCCTGGTGGGACGTTTCTAAATTACAGCCTGGCCCAGCTGTGTTTCGATCTCCACAGATCGTGCTGTGTGAACGAGCTTGTCACATTGAACGACACACTTGCGTTGCACTTATGAACATGCGCCTGAAGATCATGTCCACATCCATGCGCGCGCAGAATCACATCATATCTTCAAAGGATCACAATGCACAGACGGCGCCATGCCTGACTCGCCGGCGCCACGCCTGCCAATTCTAACACAGGCAGACGCGTCGACCCCGGCTGGCACACCTTGCGCGCGTCCTTCAGCCCCCCAGATGCCAGCAACTGCTGCGTTCGCCGTTGACTCGCAAATGCTTCTTAAAGCTGCAAACTCTCGCTCTCTCTCTCTGTCTGTCTCTGTCTCTCTCTGTCTCTCTCTTTGTCTCTCTCCCTCTCTCCTGTCAATGCAACACGCAAGCCGGAAGAACAAGGCCCAAACCTATGAAACATAAACCTCGGAAAATTCCTCCACAGCTGCTCGCCTCCTCGAGCCCCATCAACGCTTTGCCTCTCTGACGCTTTGGCCTTTCCTCTAGCTGTGGCTTCGCGGCCTGAGCCTTGGTTGTTGGCACAAGTGCCTCCTGTCACGCAGCACAGCGTGAAACTGTCGTTCTGCAACCAACGCCGCCCACTCATCATGTAGCAGCTGGTTAGTTAACCTCTCGATTGCATGAAGCTGACATTTCTTCCTGTTTCATTGATTCATGCATCTTTGAGAATTACAAGGACTTACAGCGGAACCAAATCCCAATCCCACATGAATGATTGGCCGCAGAGTGTCCACACATTGGCAGCCTGCTGCACGCAGCACCCTTTGCCATCCTCCAAACGTGGAAGCCCATGCCCCATCAGCTGGAGTCTTCACATTTTTGACTTGGCTTGAGTAACAATAGAATGCGTACACAAGCCCGTCATTTGATTCAGCAAGCTCTGCCTTTGGCTCCTCTTACGGCTCTGCCCCTCGCGGGCAGCCGTTTCACCGCCCGAAGCTGGCGCCACGCCTGCCTCCCCACCATGGCCACTTCTCATGAAAACCCCCAGCGCCGCCTTGAATGCATGGTACTCTTCCAGCACATCATCACACACTCTGAACAGCTTGGCCAAGGTGCCTTTTTGGGTTGGGACGGAGGCTGTGCCTTTTGCACCCAAAGTAAACCGTCGGGAACTTCAAGCCACGCCCATGTCCGAGGCAATGGCAAACTTTCCAAGTCTGGGGAGCGCATTGCCAGGAAGCTTTGCTTGTTGTGGACGACCAAATGTAGCTTGAGCGCAATTGCCACAATGCTTATTGCGCGGCTTGCGCGCCCAAGCCGGCGTCTCAAGTCAGAAGGTTTTTCTCAGCTTACGCAACGCAGCAAGGCATGGGCGCCTGCACAAGGTCCAGAAAGGGCGCCAACGCAATGTTTCTGAATTCCAGAAAAGGGGTGGCGCCAATTGTCCACAGGCGCTCCAAGGCAATGTCCATGGCGCCAACGCAATGTTCCAAAATTCTAAAGAAAGACACGTTTCTGAGCAGCGCTTCTGAGAGACTCTTCCAACACATTTGAGGCACGCTTGTGAACGACACTGCTGAGCGACACTTCTGAGACACTTCTGAGCAGCATGTCTATTCGACGCATCTGAGCAATGCCAATTGTCCAAAGGCCCAGCCATTGATTCTTGTCAATAGATAAACTGCCAACCGAGTATGGCCGAGCTTGCCAGCGCACATGAGCATGAACATCTCACCATGGCCACATGTACGCACACAGCGCATCACGTCATACCTTCATTGAGGAGCAAAATTCACAGACGAGCGGTGTTGCGGAAGACTCGCCGACGCCACGCAATTTTCCTGGAGGCTCGCAGACAATGCTGGGAAGCAACCAAGCGAAACTGTGCTGCTCGACATTCGAGGCTGCTGACGCAGCCGAGTCGTGAGGAACGGTTCATCGTCTTAGATACACTGCCAAGTCGAACGGCGCAATGCCTGGCTGCCCAGTGAGGGTTCTACTGGGTTCGCAATTGGCTCACAAATTCTTACTAAAGCTGCCCTGCAAGAGTTTGTTGCGCTGCTGGGATGATTGCGCAGTCAGCGCAAACAATGGCCTGGAAACACAACATGCAAGCCAGCAGCACAAGGTCAAAGAAGGACTCTTGACCATGAACCCATGCCCTGCCAAGATTAGAAAAACAGAGCGGGGTGCTCCACAAATCACTGACTTGCTGATGCAATGATAGTGTCGTTTAAATCAGTTCGGCGCCTTGGCAAACTTGAGCCACGCTAGTTTGTGACAAACCATGTTAACAGGCGCACGCTTTTCTTAATAATTGCGCAGCCTGGGTTCCGTGAACACATCCACGATGTTTGCTTGCATGTTTCCGGCAAAATTAGTACAAAGAATTCGCCACAATAATAATGCCCGGTTCGTGTCATGTGCGACTGGCTCAAGCCGCTACTCTCACTAACTAGTACCATGACTGACGCCTTTGAACTGCCGCCTGAGATTGAGTATCTTCCTGTGTCGCTGTGTGGCACAGGCTACGCCAGCTGGAAGGTCGCCTGGATGAGTCGGCGCGAATCGCCCGACACAAAATCTTCGATCTTTGCAGGCAGAGCGGGCAGAGCGGCCATGGCAATGACGAAGGCTAGGGCGACACACGTCTGCTGAGTCAAGGCATGGCGCTCGGCCTTGACTCAGCTGGGCCTGCGCACGTTGACTGAGCTGCCAGGCGTGGAACCAGTGGCGGCGGTGATCCACTGCCTTTGGCTCTCTGATCTACCAGCAACTGGCGACAGCCTGGGATGCAAGCACGCACACCTGCCACTGCGCCAACTGCGACAGCCAGACTCGGCGGCCCGGGCAAGTGGAGCTCGAGTGTGATTGCATTACTCATGGACATCTGTGACATGTCCCAACTGCTGCACAATGTGTGGGCACCACAAGAAGGAGGAGGCTCCAGGATGTCGAGACTGCGTGTGTGTTCTGTGTCTGTGTGTTTCTTTGTGGTTGGATGATGAACCAAGCCACACTCTTGTTTGCTTGTTGCAGCACGCTAACAGACACCAAGGATGTAGCATGCGTTGTCAGGGTTGGTAGCACGCTGGCTCGACGGCAGAGTAATGAGGCGATTCATCACAATTGTTGCCAAACCATTGGCGAAAGCCAAGTCACAGCGCAAACGCAATCTTGAGTGGTTTTGCTGCTACCTGTGCGGATTCTGATTCTGATTATGAGCGCACCTTTGTTGCAGAGATGCCGTGCGACAACAGACAACAACTCAGCTCCTTGATGAGTTTACACAACAGAGAGACTGAGCGTGGAGCACAGCCAGCCCAGCCAGACAAGACGTGTCATCTTGGGCTCCCGGTCGCAATGAAGCAGCCCACAAGTTCCTGCATCCACTGCCCAAGCACCTCCCTGGCACCCCGCTGACATAGCTCACTGAGGTGCAACTGTTCACACGCTCTCACAATGCGCTGGACTGGTGCAAGAATCTCTACTCACAAAGCAGAACTGGTGTACGGAGCACAAGTTTTAATACAGCGAATGCAAAAATATCATGTTCATATGCAGAAGTTTGCAGTTGAACTCCATGCCAGGCCATGTTGACACATGTGTTACTCGAAAAACGCAAAAGCAGTGCAAAAAAAAGTGCACAAAAGTGCGTTGAACATTCACAAACAAATGCAAGAAAGTGCAAACAAATGCAACAAGTGCAAAAATGTTAAAGAGTTGAAAAAAGC